CAAATCAATACATCTAATCCAAACGGGTCTGACAAATTCAACCCATCTCTTATTATTGGGACTCCCCTCTCCACGTTTTCAGAAGGCCCATTCACAGCATCACAGATAGCCACTGTCGGACCCATAGCATCCACACCACCAGCCTCCAAACCCTCATCCACCAAACATCCTTTTGTTGACACTTCATCCATAACCACAGAATCAACCAAACGACCTTTACTTCTGTTATCACCTTGCAGCACACCCTCCTCCTCACTAGAATAGTTATCCAACGCTTTCAACTCCATTGAACCAAACTCTGATGAGTCATTGCCATCCTCAAAAGAGTTAGCCATGCCTTCCTCTATTGTGGCTACTACGTCGTAGGCATGCTCTTCAAGTATGACAATTGAGTAAAAACGATCATTGACTTTCACTATAATGTTTTGCTTGATAAGCTCAGTAATGGTAGTACCTAATTGTATCCTCCCATAATCTAATCGTCGTCTTTCTGTCGTGACTTGGTCTATCTGGATAAAATCACCAAGCGAAGAAACTAACTTACGGAAGAATAATTCACTCCAAGCATGCAAATGGACTTCATTACAACGTACTCAAGTCAGCCTCCGCGCAGCTACCATACTTGGGTGCCACTCTCGTAGATCATAAATAATTTCTCCCACCATAATTTGTTGAGCAATACTATATCCTCTAAATCTACCCCAGCATTAGATTCCACCAACACCATATCCTCACCCATGGTCGTGAGATTAATATCCAACATACCTTCTCGTAGAAAAGCCCCTCGCATATTTTTTAAATCATGTTTTCTATGAAGGCGTCCGATCATAGCACCTCTACATTCCTCAATTCACCCCTCATCCACCTCAAACTCAAGGTAAGCCCAAGGTTTCTTCTTTTCTACCCACTTCTGCCCTATGTGTGTCTCAACTAGACGGAGTGCTTTAAGCTTTTCCGCATACGTATTTCCTGACGTCTTTGTAGCTCCTGTGACAAAGGAGTGTCTCATTTCACTGCCTTTCGCAGACACCTTTATACCCACAGTTTTCTCCCTTGCATGCCTCGTTAAGTTGATAGACAAGCGTATTCTGCCAATGACAATAGATCTAAGCTTAGCTTCTAAACTCTTGGCTTCTGCCATATCCACAAAACGCACAAAACTAAAGCAACGTCCTAGTTTATCACTCTTTTGAGGTATAAAAACATCAACCACCTTCTTTCACCGTTGAAATACCTGCCACAAGATTGAGACATTAGTAACAAGTGAAAAATTCATAAAAAAGTACAATGTGGAATTGTTTAGAATTTTTTCAAGATATTCATCAAATTTACCCCTTCTTTAGACTTCCATTCCACCATTGAATTTTCCAACTTTTAGATTCTTGGATGTACACTGAAAAGGCACGAGCCTTCCACTTAGGATCTGAATTCGGAAATATTTTCCCTATATCAAGAAGACCCAACGCTCCTAAAATAGCATCGACCACGCAGTGAAGCAGAACATCCCCGTCGGAATTAGCCTCGCAACCTCTATTGTGGGGTATGTTGATTCCACCGATGATTAAAGGGTAATCGGGTTCTAGTTGATGGAGGTCAAAACCGTGCCTGACCCAAAAGGGAAGAGCCTGAACAAAGGTCACGAAGCACTGAGTGATTGGCTCTGTCGATGGCCTCTATAGACAGATCTGAGAACTCAGCAGATAACGGAGATGCAGGGGACAGGGGTGAGAGCGTCTGCGTCGTCACTGCGAGGACGTGAGCGAAGACGATGCATAGGGGAGCGTCAAAGGCTGCAGCGCGCCACAATCTTAATTACCTTCGCTGTTCGATACAACCTTTCTAATGGATGGAATCATGATAGCATGACCGAATCATTCAAAAATAATGGCATCCATATATAAACCAATTCACCATAATTTTATAAATAAAATAAAATTGTATAAAACGTGGTCCAGTAAACTGTCTTAACTAAAAGTGTTTCAATTTTTTATTGAAAAGAGAGAGAACACGTTATCTCAATTAAATAAACTCCATAATTTAAATAAAAAATAAAAAAAAATTATCCATCATGTTATTTCAGTAAAAGCATCCCAATTATTAAAAAAAAAAAAAGAGTTAATGGGCTGTCTAAACTAAATCAACCCTTTAAAAATGAATATTCTTAAAAATGAAAATTAAATAAGAGATAATAAAAAAGAGAGTAGGTGCAACATATTCAAATAAAGTCATGCATAAGATAAGGTATGAATAAATAACAAAACATAAAACACACAAATGTAGAAATAATTAATGAATTTCATTTTTATTTATTTCTTATTTTTGTAATTAGTTTTCTTATTTTTTAGAGAAGAAATAATTCATTTTTTTACTGCTATATATTTGTTTACATTATAACATTATCTGACCCAAAACAAACTTAAAAAAAATGGGTCAAAAGCTGAGCAATTTAGTTGGTGATTCAGAATTTCACATGATCCAACTTTAGAAGGCCCAGGCAAATGAGGTCCACTTGTTCTAAATCTAAGCCTAAGCCCACTGGAAATTTTAAAAGACAATGAACTTAAATGGATCCGATACTGATGTAGTGACCCAAAACATGTTATAATATTATTTCAAAATTTAATTTAAAAAATTCCCATTTTATATGTTTTGAAAATTAAATTTTATTATTTAATTTTAAATTAATTCAATAATTTATTTTTTCAAAGTAGAAAATCCCTTTGTGAAATTAAATTTCAAAAATAAGTTTAAATAACTTACAGAATTTAATTTTTGAGATGTATAAAACTGTTTCCGAAAATTCGATTCTAAAAATAATTATAAGTGATTTTAAAAAATTATTTTTCAAAATTATTAAAAATATTTCTAAATACTAAATTTATTGAAATAACAAAAAGAATTATACGAATAACAAAAGAAATTACAAATAACAATTTGCAGGACATTGCCCACGTCTCTAACATCATGACCTGAAATCAAAATTTAATTGGGTAATTAAAACATTCTTATTGGTAAATCCAACCTAAGGATTAACCCAAATGAACTGAAGATTGAAAAAAAAAATTTAGAAATTTGTCGACTTTAATTCTTATCAATGTATTCGTGGCTTCAGTAATAGTTTTATGGAAAAAACAATCCTTAAATTGGTCTTTAAAATTATATGTGGGGGTATTTTAATCTTTGAAAATTCAAAAAATAATTATAAGATTATGACTTTGTAAAATGATATTAATTTTATTTTTTATATAAAACACTGGTAAAAGATAAAGTGAAAAGAATTAAAATGAATAACTTTTACAAAGTTAGTGACTAAAAAAATTTATTTTAATATTTTAAGAATTAAAATATTTTGATCCGAATTAATTTGAGATTTTATTAAAAACAAAAAGAGTAAATCACTACTTTATTCTCTGACTTTGTAATACTTTTTTGCTTTACTTTGTTATTTACCTAAAGTTTATTTGAAAGAACTTGTGAAAAACTAACAAAAGATAATATGACTCTCATGAGTTATTTTTAATTTATGTTAACAAAATTATTTTGTACAAATTTTTAAAGTGCATTATTTTTAGTTTAGTTTAATAAATTTTATTGTTAAATTTATAATATTAGTCACCATTAAAAAAAACTTATTGAATAAATACTTAAAATAAATTTTGTATTAAAACTCAATTTTAATATTTTATTTTAGTTCTTAACTAGTTCAAATATTTTCAAATTTAAAATTTTCAAACAAACCAATTTATTTGACACGATAAATTATGGCTTTAATGTGTAATTTGACAAATAGCACTCAATGACATTAGGTTATGCTAGGAGGGTAACATCTATTTATGTTCATGTCACCCTCTTTCCCACAAAACCTTAATTTGTCATCTCATCCCACGTTTTGCTACCTCCATCAACTTTTAAGGCTCAACTCTAAGGGTGGAATTGAATGGCTAGTGGGGAAAATTTGACCTCAAATCATGCCATCATAGTATGAAGGAAGTTTCAATAAAAATTCATTATTTAGAAACAATATTTTATACTTGAAAGGAAACATGGATATACTTTGCTTTTCTAGTTAGAAAACTACATTGAGAACATAAAAAACGATGATAAATCTTGATAGTTATGAGTATTCTAACTATAGGATAATGTCTTTATTCTAATTTTTGTTGTTTGTATTCCTTAATTGATATTATTTTTTTAATTTGTGCAAAGAGATGAACATTGTAGATAATTTTTATTGGATGGACACAGGATAGTGGCAACTACAATTGCAGTAAGAGAGAATAAAAATTTAAAAGACAAACATTAATTGAAAGATTAAAATTTTGAAAGTTGAAATTAGAACACTCTATGTAATGGCGAAAATATTGTAATTTAAAAACACTCTAATTGTATTTTGAAACTTTTATAATTAGAGAATGCATTATACTTTTTATAATGATGATAATATGAATACCAGTGAATTTTAAAAATTAAGAAGTGTGATTTATGTAATGGCGATATTACATATTTATAATTTAGCACAAATAATCAGACATAAACTTTTTATTAAATGGAATCGATTGAGATTGTGGGTCAACAAACACGGATTTTTATTTTTTTAATATTTATTTAACAAGTTTAAATTTTTAATATAAGTTAAACTTTTCTCCAAAGAAAAAATTGATGTTTGTTATCTTTCATGATATAAATTTGTCAAATAATGCACAAGTTAAATATTTTAAAATAAAGCATTCAGACAAATATCAAAGTAAAAAAAATAAATTATAAAATTAGAGATTAAAGTAATAATATGTTAGAAAAATAAGAAAAAAATCAATTTTCTTGTAGTGAAAATACAATTAACCAAAAATAAATATGATGCACCATAGAGAAAAATAAAAAATAAAAAATAAAAAACCACATAACTGTTTATTGTCTAAAAATCATTTTAACAAAATTCATTATGACAAATAGGCAAATTACCCAGAAACTCTCTCTCTCTCTCTCTTTCTCTCTCTTGTGAAGTGCAGGATAACAGCCTCCTTTCCTGCTCTGTTCAAACCAGCACACTCCATTTATTCCCTTCACCAATTCCCTCTTCACAATCCAAACTCTCTTTATTCATCATCACTGCTTTTCTCATTTCCCTTCCAATTCCATTCAAACACTACAGACAAAGAAACAACAACAAGACATGTCCCTCATCCAATCCTCAACATTCACAAACACCAATGTCTCACTCTCTCCTTCCCTCTCAAGCTCCTCCCAAAAATTTCCAACCTTTCACCCTACCCTTTTCATAAAACCCTCTTTCTCTCCCAACCCACTTTCTGTCTCACCCAGAAAATCACCCTTCTTCACCACCCCACTTTTCTGCAAGTCTCCTGAAGCAGAAGAAGAGGCTTCACCCCCTGATGATGATTGGCTTCAGAAGCTTCCAGAAAAGAGCAAGCCTCTCTACTCTCACAGCTTGCCTTGCATTGAGGCATGGCTGAAGAGCCTTGGCTTTTGCCAGAGCAAAGATGATAGAGCTGTGTGGCTCATACACAAGCCTGATTGGCATGCTCAGCTCTCTCTTGATGTAACTGATCTCTACATAAGGTTCCTTTCTTTCTTGTTCTCTTCGTTATTTGTGCTTTTGAGGTTCTTTGTGTTGTGGGTTCTTGTGCTTTTGCTGTTTGAGTTCATGTGTGTGTTCTTTGCAATGTTGCACGGGTACGAGTGCGAGTATTCAATACGATATGATATGCTAATATGATAAATTTTTCAAATATTGGGATAAGATAGCGACAATGTATTTTAACTAAAATGTACTTATATTTATGTATGCATATTAATTATTTTATGATAACATTGATCATATTTTAGTCAATTAATAATTTTACAAAAAAATCTTTAAAAATTATCACTAATAATTAAATAGCAGGGGTACGCCTAGGATATGAATGCATATATTGTAATATTTGTATCTAACATGAATATGACACACATACGTTTGCCTTTCTTGTGTTGAATAAGAAGCTCAATGTGGTACTCAAGCCGTGAGGCTCCCCCAGCTAATGAATTAGTCTTTTGAGTTGGACTTTTCTCATATGCTTAAGTCATAACAGAACACTCTAGAGTCCTAATTGTGAAACTTGGAAGCAACCTCATATATTTGGTTCCTGATAATCTCAACCATCAGTTATTATTGCCCGTTGTTTGCTCCAAAACCACAGACTGGCATTTCTTTCGTGTTCCGAATCCAAGCATGAATAGTTAAAATTTGAGTGAAACTCTGATACTGAAAAATGCAAATCATGGTTATAGTCTACTGAAAGTTGAAAATACTGTAGAATGGTTAAAGTTTGACCATGTGCTGTTATTATTATCATTATTAGTGGTGGTAACTGGTATGTTCGTTGCTACTGTATGTTTTTTGAATTTTATATGGTAGCATTTTGAATGAAAGGTAGCTTCCTGGGGATATTTACTAGTAGATCAAATCAAACATGAAACAACTGAACTTAATTGATTTGTTTTATTTCCCTTCCTTCTGTTAGTTATCTTCCATTTGATTATAATGTGTCAATGTAGCAAAGAAGAGGGAGATCCAGGAACAATATGTGTAATATGGTGAGGAAAAATAACAGTTGGCAAGCTAAACAATATTTACTGGAAAAAAAATAGCAGGATAACCATTGTTGAAATTTAAATGCTATTCTCAATGAATGTTGTTAAGAGTCACGCTCCAAAATGTACATATCAATACATGCATGTATTGCTTTTAAAATTCCAAAAGATTGATTTTAAAGAGTACGTGTTACAAAGATGTGGAGGTTGCTTCTTTCCTTTTTAATGTTTCTCATTTCACTGATCAGATGTAATTATCTCAATTTCATATGGAGTAACTTTCCCTTGCCTGCCTTCAAGGCTGCCTTTTCTGAGAGAGTCATGACTCGAGAGAATGTGTCAATCAGAAAGTTGGCAAACTCAAAATATAAATGTTTTTTATGTACTTAGACAAAAGTTGAAGTTATAGATAATTGGATCTTAAAAGTAATTTGGTGTCACTATTTGAATATGAAGAAGCCAGAATGAAATTACTTACCTGTTTGGTTTTTCATTGGCTCACTTTCCAAGGCAAGATAGAGATGGTTGAGATTGCTGTTACACTATTTCCTATGCCTGTTGATACAGTTTGAATAATTTCCATGATGAAAGAAATCGATTTTGAATGATTTACAATCAGACCATAATTTGTCTATTGAATTTTCGGAAAACTGGTGACATACTATTCTTGGAGATTATGCTGACTCGCAACAATGTAAAATTATATTTCTGTCTTGCATTTTTATGATTAGTTTGTTGTCCATTTCTGATTTGAATGTTGGGGGCTAAGGCAAGGCGGGGCTGGGGCTGGGGCTGTTGCTGTATGTATTTCCTCTCATTGATGATGATGATGTAGCTTTTACATCCTTCAATGAGTCATATACTCATATATGATACTTACTGCAAAATTAAATGTACTTGCCAATATATTAAATGATCTCATTGTAATGTTGCATGATGGGGTTTACCTAGGAAGTTAATGTCAATTGTTAACAGAAATGTTGGGTTTTAATGCTCTTCTTGTAGATATTGAAGAGATTTTAATTTGGTGCAGATATTTGAGGAGTGGACCTGGGAATCTTGAAAAAGATGTGGAGAGGAGGTTTAGTTATGCTTTGAGTAGAGAAGACATTGAGAATGCTGTACTTGGAGGACCATAGTCATTTTGCTTTCTATCTGTCAAATATACAGTGCCTTAATTTCTTGCTGGAAATAGTTAGTCATTTCATACGTTAATCTTTAACTTTCATGTCAGAATGTTCTCTATTGAAAGGACTAAAGAATTTTTTTACTATGTGATCATGAGGTGTTGATAAATCTACAAAATGAGAATCTGTATGGTGACTGTTCCTACTAATTTCTTTGGATAGGTATTTATTCACTCAATGGATTTGGGTCTATCTGTTTGGTTTCAAAAACTATTTTTTGTTTATTTATAATTACAAAATTATCACTTTATTTTCATTCTATCTTCGAAGAGCTGTAGGAAAAAAATTAAAAAAAATGTTTTTAATGTTGTATATAACAAATATTTGAAATAGGAAATAAAATCAAAGTAAGTTGAACATTTTGTAATTAAAAGTAAAAATAAATAACATTTTTTTTTTCACACCAAATAACTCCTCATTTTTTCACATATTGGTTACAATTTTCAGAGTTTGGTAGGTGCTTACTGTAATGACTGAGTTAGGGGGTTAATGCTGCTCTTATTTTAAATTTATTTTAATAATTAAAATGTGTTTCTAAGCGTACTCAACATAGCATCTCAACTCAGTCATTTTTATAAAACGCCATTTAATTCAACATAATAGTACCGCTTAATTGGAAAATAACCCAAAACAGAATATTTATGACAGAAATTTAAATAAGTAAGAAAATAAGAATTTATTTATTAATTTAAATTTAAGAATTTTATAAATTAAAAGTGATTTAATGAAGTAATTCTAACAAAAATATTTTTGGAATAATTTAATCTCCACTTTTATTTATTTTATTTTATTTGAAATAAACACTAATCTAAATGTATTTTAATAAAAAGTCGTCACATGTTATTTTTAACTACATTAACAAAAATAAAAATAAAAAAACAAAAATATAAAGACTAAAAAAATTATTTAAAAAATTAAATTAAAAATTCGCTAAAACATAAAAATAAAACATTTTAAAGCTCGTAGTTATCGTGAGTTATAATTTAGGAGGAATCTCCTTGTTGACATTAAGAATCTCTGTGCTTTATGTTCAAGTGCAGTAGCGCAACACAGAATCCAAAGGTTTCTACTTTCTAGCAGGCAAATTGGCGTAGCCTAAGAGCATTTCATAGCAGTCAATTCTGTTTCAACAACAAAATTTCTTGCCCCTTTCCCCTTTAACGGTGATTTTTTGGACTAATTTTAGGTGCCCTTAATATTTGTTGTTCTGCAACCAGTAGGAGGAAAAAGAAAACAAAAGAAAAAACTCAGATTTTATTCGACAATGCCGTGTCATCAAACATAACTAGAATAACTGTTTCAAATTCATGAAACCTTTTCCTACGCTGACTCATCAATTTCCCAAGTTACAAGCCTTGGTTTCTTCAGTTCGAAAATCATTGAAATCCCCACAAGATCCAGTACTTGCTTTGGAACTTCTTGGCAAAGCATTAGACCATTACCCAGATATCAAAACCTTGAAAAATGTTCATTCCAAGGTTTTTAATCTCAATTTTCACGAAAACCCATCTCTGGGAATCAAACTCATGAGAGCTTATGCTGCCTGTGGAGAACCAGGGTTGGCACGCAAGGTGTTTGATGAAATTCCTGAAAGGAATGTTGTTTTCTATAATGTCATGATAAGAAGCTATGTGAATAACCATTGGTACAATGATGCATTACTTGTTTTCAGGGCCATGGTTAGTAACGGGTTTAGCCCTGATAATTATACCTTCCCTTGTGTTCTAAAGGCTTGCTCTTGCTCTGACAATTTGAGGTTTGGATTGCAGCTTCATGGAGCTGTATTGAAGGTTCGACTTGATTCAAATTTGTTTGTTGGAAATGGTCTCATTGCTATGTATGGTAAATGTGGGTGCCTACTGGAGGCACGGTTTATTCTTGATGAAATGCCAATCAGGGATGTTGTTTCCTGGAACTCAATGGTTTCTGGGTATGTGCAGAATATGCGGTTTGATGATGCTTTGGAGATTTGCCGGGAAATGGAGGGTATGAGACAAAAACCAGATGCAGGCACAATGGCCACTCTCATGCCAGCTGTAACTAATACTTCACCTGATAATGTTTTGTATGTTAAGGACATGTTTATGAATTTGGAGAAGAAGAGTTTGGTCTCGTGGAATGTGATGATAACTGTATATATGAAAAACTCAATGCCTGGAGAAGCTGTGGAATTATATTTACAAATGGAGAAAGGTGAAGTGGAACCAGATGCAATCACTTGTGCTAGTGTTCTTCCAGCATGTGGGGATCTTTCGGCTTTGTTGCTAGGAAGGAGGATTCATGAATATGTTGAGAGGAAGAAACTATGTCCAAATTTGCTGCTGGAGAATGCATTGATAGACATGTATGCCAGGTGTGGATGCCTACAAGATGCTAAAAAAGTGTTTGACAGGATGAAGTTTCGCGATGTTGCATCATGGACTTCATTAATATCTGCCTATGGCGTGACTGGACAAGGCTACAATGCTGTGGCACTCTTTACTGAAATGCAAAATTCTGGTCAAAGTCCAGATTCTATCGCCTTTGTTGCAATTCTCTCAGCATGTAGCCATGCAGGATTACTTGATGAAGGGAAGGTTTACTTTAAACAGATGACAGATGAATACAGAATAACACCAAGAATTGAACACTTTGCTTGCTTAGTAGATATTTTAGGACGCGCTGGGAAGGTAGAAGAGGCCTATAATTTTATTAAACAGATGCCAATGGAGCCTAATGAAAGAATTTGGGGGACACTGCTTAGTTCATGTCGGGTGTACTCCAATATGGATATTGGGCTTTTAGCAGCTGACAAACTACTTCAGTTGGCTCCTGAGGAATCAGGTTACTATGTGTTGTTATCTAATATTTATGCAAAGGCTGGTAGATGGAAAGAAGTAACAGCTATTCGATCACTAATGAAGAGAAGAAGAATTAGGAAAATGCCTGGCATCAGTAATGTTGAGCTGAACAATCAGGTTCACACCTTTCTTGCAGGTGACACGTCACACCCACAATCAAAGGAAGTATATGAAGAGCTAGGTGTGCTAGTGGGGAAGATGAAAGAGTTGGGTTATGTCCCTGAGACTGATTCTGCTCTTCATGATGTGGAGGAGGAGGATAAGGAATGCCATCTAGCTGTTCACAGTGAAAAGTTAGCTATTGTGTTTGCTATTTTGAATACCCAAGAATCTCCAATCAGAATTACCAAAAACCTTCGTGTTTGTGGAGATTGTCATATTGCTGCCAAGCTTATCTCCAAGATAGTTCAACGGGAAATTGTCGTGAGGGACACCAATCGATTCCACCATTTTAAGGATGGTATATGCTCTTGTGGTGATTATTGGTGAAGCTACTTTAGGCCCTCTATGATCTAAATCATTCTACAAATTTGACTACTATAATGGTCCTGAATATGATGGAAGAGAATTATTTTATTCATATTTTTTGGTACAATGAAGGAATAAGAACTTGAGTAGGAGGGAATAGATGTCCTAATGGAAGATTGATTTCCCAACATTATCACACTCCAATCTTATAGACTAAAAGCGGTGTTAGTTGAGCTTCACATTTCATGACCAAGAACTCCTTTGTGATGGAGGATGATGAGTTTTATTAGGCCTCTTGCCTTCTTTTGGCTTTTGTGATGTGTGTTAGTAAATGAAGATTAATGGTGATTGATTTTTGTAGCAGGATAAGGTAGGATCTCTCTCTTTGACAGGGAAAAGTTCTGTCTCATGCATGAAGGTGAAAATGAGAAGATAATCGCATTGCAAAATCCAAGTTTTTTCTTTCTTTCTAGAATGCACCAACTTTTAAAAACGGATATCTACAAAAAAATTTTAGAAAGAATTGTTAGCATGTCATTAAGGTCTTTCTTATCTTATTCCGTATAATATAAGGGCAAATGCTAATCAGTATCTTCATTAAGGAATTAGAAGTGAAAGATTTTTGTCAAAAAATATAATTAATAAATATCTGAGATTTCCATGTAATTAAGGAATTATTTTTTTACATGATACTTTAAAAATAATCTATACCAAAACAAGCTATTTTTTATAAAATTAAAAAAATATGAAAACTCATTGTCAATGGTACAGAACAAAAATTCGCAGATAGAACAGTTAGAAGTTATATGACGATTTTTAAAAAATAATAAAACATTAAGACAATTGTCAATGACAGTTTTTAGTTCAAAATATTATCAAGGGTGATTTTTGAAAATTTCTCATATTTTAGTATTAATTTTCTTATATATAAAAAAATCCCACTCAATCATGCTTCTTAAGAGTAATTTTTATTTTCAATTTTTTAACTAATGTCCTGGGGCACCGGATGTCCTGGGGCACCGGATAACAAGTAGATATGTGAAATAAATCTTGTGGTAGTAACATTAACTGTGTATGCTCAATTTTATGAGATATAATCACTGTTCATTAAAATACTCGGCGTATTTGTGTCATACAACTAAGTCTAATTTAAATAATTTTTAATAGCTATGTTTCAGAGAAGAAAATAAAATAAATCAATGACACAAAATGAATTAAATTTCTTCTTTATATGCACTTTTATTGGGCTGTAACAAGTTTGCAATAAGCGCTGGTTACAATTTATTTTTGGTCAATAATCTTGCCTAGTTACTCTAAACGAGTTAATATGCAAACTCGTGAAGTGAATCATCAATCATTTCGCTTAGGACCTATAATTAAACAGAGCAAAACTTAACCTGTAGATTGCAAGGTCTACACTTTTTATACCGCTCCTTTTTTCAATCATATCACCCTTTATTTATTTTTTTGATAAATTTTGCTTAGAAAATTTCCCTATACATAGAATATGTTACTTTATCTTCAACATTTGAACGTTTGAGCACCATTGTCTTTGTTGCTTTACAGAATTATTTTGTATACATTATCATACAAACTCTAGGTTGATAATAAACATAAAGGTTATGTTTACTAAAATAAGCAGTTAAACTAAATAAATAAAATTATTGTTATTTACTGACAAACTTATCAAACATAAATTCATAAACTCTTATGGAATAAACAATTCATAAATCATGTATACTTAATTTATGTTAACTTATCAATAAATACTTGTAAATAAATAAATACATAAAACTTTTCTCTTAAATTAAAATTACCTTATACTCTTTATTTTTCAAAAGCTTTCAATTAACTTCTTTCAAGTACACAAATTGTTGACAAAAAAAATAATCATTTTATCTTATTTTTCTCTCTTATACATTTATACATTTTCAAAAGCTTACACAAATTAAGACTAAGTCGTTTATCCAAACTTACAACATTACCTTACATGAAATTGGGAGCACTTCAATGAAAGTATAGTGTATTTTAATATTTGACAGTTAGATTGAAGTTAAATGAAAAATTCAGATTAGATGTAAGAGTTTTTAAACATATACTGGCATAAGAAGATCATTTTCCTTTAAACAAATTTATAAAAATCATAAAATTTATTAATATGTTCTTCCAAAGGCTATAGGCACCCCTTGACATGACACTCTGACTTTTGTTGGGGTTTAAAATTTCTTTTTTTTAAAAAAAAAAGCTAGACGTTGAAATATTCTAACACAAGAATCTGAAATCCTTTTGCAACCCATTTTGGAAGGTCTGCTAGGAAAAAGAGAGGAAGTCAGTCCTTGATGGTGAAAGCATTTCTGATTTCAATTTCTCAACCAAAATTTCAATAATATTTAGAAACATAACAAAATTACAAAGGATAAAAAATAATTCCAATAATTCTTAGAAGAAAATATGAAAATTAGAAAAGAAACCAGCCAACAAAAAGGCAAGACTTGCACTAACCCACTAACAGGCAATAAGTTGATATGCTCTAGTAAAGTTAAATGTACTGTGTCTTGACACATGATTTGTGGCCACTCTCCATCATTCTTTTGGTTTACACTTTCCTAACCTGAATATTGTGAGTGGATTGGAACCTCCATATGGGTTGCCTACCACTTTGTACAAGTGCCACTTCTTCTCCTTCCTTCACCATTCCTTGTTTCTGCACCCAGAAATCATGCAAATATGATCATAAAGAAACAGGAAAACATAGGACACATGCCGGATTAAGCAGTCATCTTATTGTAGTATTTTGGAGGTGGAAGAATCTATTTGGTAGCATCTCCTAAAAAACATTCAGCAATCACCTCCAACGTTCCACAAGTTAATGAATTTTACTTTATACCCATGTCTAAATGATTGAATCATACATTGGGCTTACATTAAGTTTGACAATTCATTCAAAAGGATTTTTTTTCTAAGTGCCTTTAAATTGGAATTGGCGAGCCAATTCTCCCCTACTCATTAGTTGCATAGCCCAAAAATATGCTTGTCATATTAACACCAGAAACAAGAAGTTCACACAAAGGTCCATTGTTAAAGTACTGCATGCATGAATAGACTATTTATCATGCTACTTGGTAGAAGTAATTAGAATCAGTTTAAACCAAATAAGGTTTTAAAATCAGTTCAAACTACCATTTATCATGTTACTTGTTAGAAGTAATTTAAATCTAGGGCTAAATCATTGTGTACTCCTCCAAACATTACCTGTAGCAAATCCAAGGCTCTCCGGAAAGTCTCTTCAGCGTCCTCACAGAATTCCATGTATATAGGACAGACTCCTTGATACAAAGCCAACCTCTGCTGTACCCTCTTCCTACATGACCAGCAAAATTAGGTAGATCAATAATCTGTCATAGTATACAAGCAGATACATGCAAACTGATTCTCATTTTTTAAGATATATGCCGATGAAACAAAAGAAATCAACTCATAGGTAACTGCTATTTTTAATAGCTTCTGAAAAAGCACAACAGTCATCATTCGTTTAAAGAAGCTGGTTCGTCAAATTTATTGTCAGAGGGAAATTTGTGTATGTGCTATGTCGAGCCATTCAACCAAGAAATTGAGTAAACAATTTTGAATAAAGGGAAAATACCCATACAGGTTTATTTTTTTTAAGAAACAAGTTTTTTTATCGATAAGAGAAAGGGGACAAAAAGAACTCACTCGTCTGTAAAAGCAAATATGGTGCCCGAAGGACGATAGTGGCTCAATAGGATAGCCATGAAACCTGTTCTAGTGAAGACAACAGTTGAGGTTCCAAGGGTGTTAGACATCATGGTGGCATGGTACGCAAACATCTCACTCATGTGGTTCTATGTTGAACATAAAAAAACAAAGGATACAAAGTTTAGAACTGATAATCAAATGACAAACATCAACGGATTAAATAAAAAGTGAGCATGGCAACAAAATAGGTTGACTTGAAACCTTGAACACTTGACCAATATTAGGTGGCATTTGACCACCTGGTATAGTGGCTTCTGTCCGCAATGCTACTGTGTGCATTACTTTCACAGCTTTTAGAGGGAACCTGCGTTATAATAAAAGTTGAATAATTCTCTTTGGCTCAATAATAAAAACAAAGTCAATTGCATTATTTTAAAAGTATCAAACAATGCCCCCTGCTACTGTATAAACTTTGAAACATTACCTTTCAAAGCCAGATTTGCCCACAAGGTTACTTACATGCTACTACTAATACTCAAGCATGTAAGATCATACGCATACCCTCAATAACCCAAACATAACACTATTATTTTATGATCAACTATGCTTTGTTTTCATACTTTTACTGGTTGACTGAATTATTAACTTGAACGTATTCATACATGCATGCATGTATAAATGTGTGTATATGTATATGGGGGCAGGAAAACTATTTACTTACTTTCCATGAGCTGTTTCACCGGACAGCATTATTCCATCAGAACCTTCTCGAACAGCAATTGCTATATCTGATACCTCAGCTCTGGTTGGAGTTGGGTGAACAATCATGCTTTCTAGCATATTAGTTGCCACAATAACAGCCTTTCCCATGCTACGACACAAGCTGATAATCTCTTCCTACATTAACAGGCATTACGAATGTTAAGATGAGCTCAGCTGCAACTTGACATCCATCCAGCACCATAAAGCATATCAATTGATAATTATCTTTACTATTGATTCTTAGTTCTTTAATAAAGGAGTTTTACCTGCAAAAGTGGAACCTCTTCAATAGGGAGCTCAGCACCAAGATCTCCTCTAGCAACCATAGCCTAACCAGAAAGGCAAAAATAGATAGGTTAACATCAGCAGTCAGTATAGAAATACTCCAGAAACACTATAGTCATAACTCAACCACTGAGCAAAATACATTCAACACTCAACAGTAAAGCAGAAAGCATAAAGAAATAATGCAATGATTAGATTAGCACCCCATCAGATGCGGTGATAATTGAATGCAAGTTTGGTATAGAGTCTGCACTCTCAATTTTCACGATGACATGTATATCAGCACCACAGCCTGCAGTATTGAATGGGAAATTTATCATATTTATAATCTTAAATATGCAGCAAACTAATCAGACAATTTTTAAAATGTTTTAGCGATTTACTCTTCAAATAATTCTTCAGTTCATGAACAACTTCAGCATCCTTAACAAAGGAAACAGCATAGAAGTCAACTTTGTTATCCACTCCAAACTTGATATCATCCCAATCCTTCTCTGCAACAAATTAATGTGAATGGGATTAATCATGCCCCTATAGCATCAATCACCACCAAGTACCCTCCCACACAACGAGGCACACAAAATGATAGACATTAGAAATTATCAAGATTGGGATTAATAATCTGAATTCTGACCAGTGATTGAAGGCAGTGTTGCACTTTTTCCTCTAACATTCAAATGTCGCCTTGACTTGAGCTCTCCTCCATCAATAACTTCACATTTCACAGAAGCCTCTGTCTTAGACTTAACCACCATAGACATCATACCGCCTACATCACAAATTATCTTTTCAGCCAAAAGTTCCACCCTTTTAAGAATAATAAGAGAAGTGAAGATATCATTGATACAACTATACGAGTGTTATATAATGGGTCCATGGTCTCACCCTTTTCTGAACCCCACATGGACGGAATTATATAGCCCCAGGTTACCCTTTTATAAGAGTGTTACATAAGTTCAGTAGTTCATGTTATATATTCTATCTAGCCCATCATTTTCTATAGACAAAAAACAGCATTGCATGTTTCAACAGTTTAGTTTATTTCATATATTGATTGAAACTTATGCAACAGTACTAACTTAACAACAATATTATAAAATAATTGATACATGTGTACATGTAAATGTTTTCACTATTAACCCTGAACATGTTTCTTTGATCAAAACGCTACCTGTGTATCTCATACACAGATCAAAATGAAAAGATAAGTGATAAAATATTTTCACCAGAAGGTGGCCTTGGGAAAACCTATCTCTAAGAATGTATTAATTCTGCAACGACAAAGATTGGCCTTCATTGCAGGGCAAACACCTTAATAAAATTTAAATAAACACACATAGAATAAATTAAACTAGTGTTTGAGAGCTGGTTTATCAATCCATGAGCATACCAAAAAGTTTACGTAGTTTGAACATTTTAATTAATCAGTTGATAACCATACCATCAACAAGAAGCATGTCCCCTACTTCCACATCATTGACAAAATCATCATAGTTCACACTAACACAATCTGCAGTTCCAACACCTCTCTGAATAGTAAAAGTGAATTCCTGCCCAGTTGTTAATGTGATTGGTTGAGGCAAATCCCCACTCCTAACCTCAGGACCCTGAAAACAAAGAAAAAGAAATATTAGATAACACAAACAAATAAATCAAGAATGATTGAGAGGAATTGTGTGCAAAAGCTACACAATTAATCTTGTCATATTAGCTTATTGGCTGTTCAAAACATCTTTTTAACCAAAAGATTACTGACAGAGCTTTTGAAAAAAATAAACAAAAAGCTATTCTAAAAATTTAATAAAACCAGCCCTATACTCTTATTTATAGCTTGACTAAAATCAATCAAAATCAATAAATGGAGCACAAAAGGGGCTACGTAGAAGCTAATTTACAGTCTAATAATCAATAGTCAACAAATCACTAGCTAGTTAATTTAATAGCAGGTGATCATGTGATAATGTTCTAAGCATAAGAGATAAGGAGTGCCCTTAATCCTTCAACATTTTTGCAGCATAGAATCTCTTATCCTACTATAGCATTTTCTGGGCTCGCCACTATCCACTGCTATCTGGAATTAATAACCACACTATTAAACATAGACCTAAACACAAATACATCACATTCTCAACTTCTCAGTGGTTAAATAAAGGGGATAAATTAAAATGGTCACCCATCAAAATAGGAATACCTGGCTCTATAACATCATGAAATAGAATTTAGACAAGGAAAGGTAATGGCTCAAACTTCCAAATTGAATTATGGAAGTATGTGACAAAATGGAGGCATTATGGCACCCAACTCTTCAAAACAGGGTTTTTTACCAAAATGGGTTGCACAACCCAACCCAGTTCAAAAAGCACTGCCAGTGCATTCTGAACCACCAATCCAACCATCCCATATTTTGGAGTGACGATCTGCAACTAGTCATGGCAGCAATCCAGTTGGGAAAGCAACTCACAGGGGAAGAAACAAAGTATTGAATTGCACACTGATACACTCCAACAAGTTGGAGCACAATTTTGCAACTTTGATATTTATAATTACTAAGTCAGAAGTCACATTCATAAGTTAAAAACATAAGTCAGTAACAACAAAATTCCAGAAATTAAATAAGTGTAAAGGTGTGTGTGTGAGAGAGAGAGAGAGAGAGGGAGACAATCAGAATACAGAACACAAAGATATAAACAAAGAGGTGAGCAGTAGAACAGAATGACGACTTAGGACACAAAATTAAAAGAAACATAAGGGTTAGTGATAGAAAAGACAGAGGAAGGTCATAAACCTGTCTTAACAATATCGTCAGAACTAAAAGGAATAGAGGATATGAGACCAATTGACAGAACATAGTAGCAAAACAGTGAAGTGGTATGCCCAGGTTGCCACAAAAAGCCAGGCTTGGCCAGAAACAATGCTGACAAGCATTGAGTGTTGGTGGTTGTGGCAAAACAGGAGAGAACAGTCATGTTGCGTGAATAAAGCTGAAAACTTACAAAAAACGTTTTACCCATCACAATTGCCCTACAATAGCATGCAAAATGCTGTGATTGTGGTAGCAACAGCCACATCTAAAATCCACTCTGCTGTTGATGAGGCCCAAAGAGTAAGTGGGCTTTGTGAACCACTAGCCCATGAAGGGAGCAAGCCACGATGGGAAAGAGTATATGTGAGAAAGAAGAATCAGATGGCTGAGGTAGCATGACTAATGGGAAAGGGCAGTTAGAGGAGAGAGAGTAATATTTTCTGTTTTAGAGAATTAGTCATGGATAGAAGGGGAATTCATTTTGTTATTTTTGCTTTTCTTGGAGAGGAGCCTAGCTCCAGGCAGTAAGATTTGTTATCCTCCAATATTTCCTTTAATTTGCAAATAATTCAGAATATCAGTGTTTTCTTCTTCTAGTTTCTGCTTTCTTCTTAATCTCGAAGTGTGGGTCTGTAACAGCTGTTTGAATCCTGCAGTGGTGCAGGGCCTTGATATCACTATAGTACATTATTAAAACATGGAAGTCAACAGCATGCTATAGGGGCATAAACAAGAACAGCAGCCCTGGCTGCTTCAGGATGCCAATAGCAGAACAACTTTTGGAGCAGCCATCGTGGCCACAATTGCAGCCAGAATAGCAGCAGTTTGCATGCTATAGAAGCACTACTGCGATGGATTTCAGAAACTCATTTTTACCCTTTCAACAGCATCTTTTAGGGTTTGTTGGGGGGAAAATTGTGATTTCTCCTCCCAATTTTAGAAATAAAGGAAAACCCTATCCTTCCCACCATGCTCTCCTATGTTGGTAAAAACCACACCCAACCACCCCTTCTCCAATTGTATTTCCAGCATATTTCATTGTTTTCCAGCCAGCCCATGGCTCCTTCTAGCCATCCTATGATCTATGCAGCCCTTTATACTTTTCTGTTCCCTGTTCTCTTAGATCTCAGTAACTGTTGCATTTGCATCCCTATGTTCACTCTGTCTCCTTGAGTCCTTTGTGGCAACAGATTCCACATTCTGAAACAGACCTTTCAAGTTTCGTCGTATACCTACAATTTTTCTGTATTGACCATCCTTCTATCTACTATTCGGCTATAGAAATTATTGGGGCTGGGTGCTACACGCCATTTTCTAGGATTAATAACTACACTATTAAACATAGACCTATTTAATACATCACATTCGCAATTTCTCAGTGGTTAAATAAAGGGGATAAATTAAAATGATCACCCATCAAAATAGGAATACCTGGCTCTATAACATTGAAATAGGGTTTAGACGATGAAAAGTAATGGCTCAAACTTTGAAATTGAATTTTGGCAGTATGTGGCATAATGACCATTACCTCTTATCCATATAATTATGATTCTGAGAACAGAAACAAAAGTCAAATAATTAACAATAAAAGCCAACTGATACCAAATCATGGCCACGGTCACTGCTACCTTGCGAAACAGCAGCGATGAACAATTATTATTCAGAGTAGACCCTCACACTTGCCTTGCATGCCCTCTCCAATAACAATCCAAACTTCAACCTCAAGATCTAATTGAAATCACTTACAACGGAATATTGTATCAATCAGTCATGCTATGCAGGAATTTCATATTATCATCAACAAATTTAGTTACAAGGGAGACTTAGTCAGCTCAATGAAGAGCTATGAAGCCTAGATACTTAGCATGACATGGATACAATACAATATGGATACAGAAATACAGGAGATTCTTGAAAATTCAAGATACAATACAGCCTAGATACGTTAGCATGAATTCAAAGGAAAAACATTTTATACAAAAACAAAATATTTATGAAGAGATATCGATGGCTAATTCATATTAATATATTACATTTGTATATTAGAACTGTATAGAAGATGACCCAGGAGGACTGAGTGCTGCGAGTTGTCAACCATCAACAACTTGCTAGCCATTACCACCAACTTGTGACTCAATAACAAGTGACTTTTGCAAGACTCAAAACCACTGCTACTTGCAAAAGCTTTAAAAACTAAAATTGAGGTCTCCAATTTTGTGTAAGATGTTGCGTGTGAAAGCTTTGAGCATTGCTGCATACGAAACCCACATAAATCGCAACCCCTATTTGTGTAAGAGACCCATGCTGCCAAAAGCCCTAGCTAAAGGAAACGAGCGGTGATGCTGATCAAAGACTCTATCTCAAGTGTAGAACAATCATGGAATTGAAAATCAGAGTTTCAAAATTAACTAAGTTAAATGTATTGTATCTACTGGGCAGAAGCTGTTAAATGTATCGTATCTACTGGGCAGAAGCTGTACTCAAATGTATTGAGCCGTATCCCAGCTACATTGGGGCAGGAATTTATTTATCAAAATAAAAGAAGAAATCTATCTGACACGTATCGGTATCAAATATGTGACCGATACTGACGCTCTGGCCAAATTGGAATATCCGGGCTTCATAGATGAAGAGAAACACAATATATAAGCAGTCCCAAACAATCATCAACAAAATGTTAAAACTTAAAAGTGCTAAGAAAAATAGAGTTCATTATAAATGTGTCATGTTGTATTGTTCATGTCATGCCAAATTTAGTGCAGGCTACTTTTAAAGAAAAATCCAGACACTATTTATACAATAACAGTAATTTCACAAATGCAATCAATAGCAGCATTTTATTAAATCATTATCAAGAAAACTAACCAATTTAAGTCCAATACATAATTGCAACAATGAAAATATACATAAGCAATATATCTCTATTGAAATAAAAATGCTTGAGGGAAGAACTAACCTTAGTGTCAAGCATAATTGCAATCACATTATCTTTGGATTGAGCATTATATTCTTTAACCAAATCAATAACTTTCTGATGAGAAGCATGATCTCCATGCGACATATTGAGTCTAGCAACATTCATCCCAGCCTCAGCCAACTTCCAAATCATTTCCCTTGTATCGGTAGAAGGTCCAATAGTACACACTATCTTCGTCTTGCGCCTAAACGTTGGCTTAGACCACATTCCAGCCGAATTGTCACCAAGTGGTTGCACCCCACGTAAATGCTGCAAATGCTCCTCAATCTAATCGCCACAACACAAAAAGGGTCACAAAAATTTTCTCAAAAACCCCACAAAACCAATTGCATTTCCCACCACTTTCACAGTCTGGGTGACCCCCAAAAACTAAAAAAATTCAAAACTTTCCCATCATTTTACCACCAACGATGCAAAAAAGCACGAACCTTTGGATCATCTTCGGGTGATACCGGGACAACTTCAGCAGGGGCAGATTTCCTTGCACTGATCTGAAAGCTTCTGATGCCAAGTTGAGAGTTTTTGTTCCCTTCAGAATGGAACACTTTGGAAGCAAAAGTTGGAGGCTTCAACAGTTTCTGAGCCTTTTCATTTGCAGATCCAGAAGCGGGGCTCAAAAGGGTGCTCTGAATGGATCGCATGGCCACAACCTGAGCCATTGTTGGAGAGAGAGAGAGAGAGAGAGAGAGAGAGAAAATGGTAGGAAGAAGAAGAAGAAGAGGGTATGAAGCGTATAAGAAGAAAAAGAAGGAGAGGTGAAAATGGAAGTTGGAAAAATCGCCGCAATTTTTGGCGTAGGTCCTGAGAAGACGAGGTTTGGAGGGAGGCCTCGTTTGTATCGAAGCAAATCAATAGTGTGCTGTTTTTTTGAACTTAGTCTGTTCAACGTGTTTGTCGTTGCGGATGCTTTAATGCTAAACGGGCAATGCAAAAATTGCTATGATGTAAACCTAAAAGGGTTGTCGTTTTCATGCATGATGCCCATCTGGCAACCCAAAATGAGTCTCAGCAAATGAAGCAACTCCAGTGAGGTTCGATAACATAAAACAAGCGATTGGGCACTGGGGAGGTCTGAAAAGTATAATGATTTATAAAATAATTAATTAATTAAATAAATTATATTTGAACTAAAAAAATTTATTAAACTTGATTAAATAATTTATTTAAAATTATAATAATATATTAAATAAATTTATATAAAAATTACAATATAATAAATAAATAAAATTTTAAAAAATAAAATTTTAATATCTTTTTTTAAATTCAAAAAATACTACTATTACATTAACTACGAGGAAGAGAATTATTTGTTAAAAATTTTTGTGTTATTATATGTAAATTTATTATAAATTTTAAGACATTAATAAATTTTTTTATAATTTATTTATATAAATTTTTTAATTTTAAAAATATACCTATTTAAATAATTTAATAATTTATTTATAAAAAATTTAAATAGTTTATGAAAAATTTTACTATAAAATAAGTGATTAAAATAATTAATAGATTGAATTAAATTTTTAAAAAAATTATATTAAACTTGATAAGAAAAACTATAACAAATAATAAGTTAGATTTAAAATTATTAAATAGATTAAATTTATTTATATAAATTTTAACTTAAATTTACTTACTTTCATCCCTACTCATAAATATCATTTTAATGACCGGTTCAAATAGATATACTTATATTAATAATTATTTTAGTACAATAAAAATTAAGAAGCCTTTAAGATATATTAATAAAAATTATTATTTATTTTATGTCTTTAATATAATATTAATAATAATCATCCTTTCATGAACGATTATCCTCTTAACCATTAAAGCATTATAAATATTCTATCTTTATTTAAGATAATTTAAAATTATATTAATAGTAAAAGTATTTTAGATAAAAAAAAATTAAATAAGAGTAAAATAAGCATATAGAAATGGCATTAAATATTTCTTGTATAAATTTATATACAAATTTTGTAACATACCTTAAAGACATGTAATAATAAATGAATAATAGGAAAAAAAAGACAGATAATATATATATATGGTAACCTTTGATTACAATTAAAAAATATTATAGAATTTAATACTGGAATAACATTAAATTTGTAATAAAAATATTACTTTTTATTCTTTTAAACAGTGCACGTTAAAAATAGAATTATTGATAAGTTTGTAATTAGGCCCTCTTTTATAGCCATTTATTCATATTTGATCTTTATTTTTATTAGATTTTACACTAATTTATTTATTAATTATGCAGTTTGATGTAAAGAGGCCACGAGTAGATTTCGATTCATTTTAGGCCTAAATGAATGGGTTTAAAAGTCTCACAGCAATAAGTACGCCCAATGAAGTACGGGGGTGCTTCAACAATATGCACGACCATGCTGTACCATCATGCACGGCTGTGCTTGTTTGCGTTAGCCAAACTTGCCTACTTTAAAGGAGTTCTAATTCTATAAATAGAGAGGGGGAGGCATCGTAGAAATGATCTCTCTTTCCTGAGCATCATTTCACAGAAGGCCTTTTAAGATTCTTGATCACTTTCACCTCTCTTGCACGGACCTTTGACACACCCTTGGTGACACTTGGAGATTCAAGTGACCATACTTGAAGATCGAAGATTCATCTCTTGTTCTAGTTTGTTTTTCTCTTCATTATGGATATGTTATTGATTATACTAGCTTTTTCTTTCTACATGAGTAACTAAATCCATAGCTAGGGTTATGAGAATTATTGTTCATGACTTTATGAAATTTTGATATTTGAATATAAATTTGATTTCCACTTCGTGATTAGAATTTATCTTATTATTTCTTATTCTTAACTCTAATTAATTACATCGTCAGACGATCGTACCTCGGTTAATTAATAGATATATAGGATAAAACGAGATAAAAGATTAGGTAGACCAAACCAATCTTCATCTTCTAATCGTTATTGAATTAACAAATTCATAAGCTCCTTAAGCTTTTTCTAATTGATAACTCGCATGATCATTGGAGATATTAACTTAGGAAAAAGAATATTAATATTGCATGACCAGTGAATATTAATAGTATTAATATGAATGATTAGTAATCATCAGGAAATCGGATTTAGATCCAAATAGAAAAATAACATAAAGGATTGAATGAGAATACCCATACGCCCTAGGTTTCTCTTTGATAAGTGTAACCAAGATGTGCTCTGTGTTTGTTGCTCTTAATTTTTATAATTGATTTTATAAATTCTCTTCCTGATTAATCTCGCATATTTAAAGCTCAAACAATTAAATTAGAAAAACTCTTAGTAGTTGATAAACAATCCTTGTGAGACGATATTAAGGAACTTAATTGAAAACTCTTTATTACTTTTCGATGGGTACACTTGCCCTCCGAACAATTATATATGATAAAAATCTATATATATAATAAGTTTTTACTTAAACTTATAAAATTAATGTATTCCAATATATAGATATTATTAAATATTACACTTTTTTTATAAAAAAAATTATTAAAATAATACTAAATATCAAGGGACATCTAAAAGATCTGTTTAAATTAATATAGGTAAAGCACACGATTAATATTAAATTATGAATTAGTTTTTACTCCTAAAATAATTAGTTTTAAATCATTTTAGTTTTCATTATCGTAACATCATTAGAAAAATGTTGATATGGTTCAATAATAATAACTTAATGAATAATAATTTTTACTAGTAGCGTTAAAATGATAGGAAATGAAATATAATAAAATACTTGAACAAAAATTTAAGTTTTCTTTGTATACAAATTAAATTGTAAATAAGTATTAATTAAATAAACAAAATATGTATTTAAATAATTGTAAAATAAAATATTTGAACTTATTTTAATAATTTTATGATCAAATTTATGTTATAAGAATTTAATAAGTGCTTAATTAATTTATTTATTTACATGTTCCTTTATTTTTTGACTTGTATAAAATTTTAAATTTTAAAATTTAATTTGTTTGATTATTCTAGGCAAATATTAATAATTTTGTAAGGACATTGGTTAAAAAATAAAAGATAATTTGTTTAAAATAAATACTCAAATTAATCCTTATAAATTTCAATAAACCCAATTTAACTTCTACTTAAAAATGAAATTTATCAAGTAGTCCCTCAAAATTATAAATAAAGACATTTTAATCCTTGTATCAATTGAATATAAAAACTAAAGTATCTCATCATTATAAATTTTAGTAAATAAAATGATTATGTATTTTTTTTAGAGATTTTCTTTCCAAAGTTCAATTTGGTATATTGCTCAATTAAACTACATTTGAAAAAATTACTTAAGTACTGTTTTCATAAAATAACTGATAAAAAATTAAACAAATTAAGGAAGATAATGAATAGAAAACCCTTTTTCAAGATATTATGCGTCTTAAATGATCAAACCATCGCTTTAGCAATAAAAAGGTAAGAACGAAAGTTTTTGAAGTAAATCACTGAATTAGTGGGTGAGAGGTAAATCACTTGTCAAATTAATTATTGACCAATTTCAACTTGTAGTCCTTCAAAAATATATTTTGCCCCACCATTTACTGTCAACTATATATTGTTGGTATTAATATTAATGCATGTCATAAGGGGATATCATACATGACGTGTTATCATCGTAAAACGTTTGAAGAGGAAAACTAGGGCAAAGATGAACGTCTCACGTCTACCATGGCATAACGTAACTCTATACTACGTAAATTTACAAATAATTTTATCAACCACGGTGCCTTTTTTATACTCTTCCTAAATAGTTTTTTTTAAATATTAATTAGAGTAACATAATTTTAAAGAGATTATAGTAATTTTTTAATACTTCATCTAATTTAGGCCTCGTAGATGGATATACAGTTTTATTAACAATGACAGTGATAATATGAGTGAGTTATTATGTTATAATTGTTAGATCCAGAAAAAAAGTTGATCAACATAAATAATTTATTGTTGTAACGTGATAATATCGGTTTTGAAAAATTTGCAAATTGCTCATTCACCGACATAATGAATATTACTTGGTCAATCTGCAGTACCTCTTTAATCTCTGTTGTATCTCGTGTTTGCAATGACACCTTTACTTTCCTATGATTTTCTGATACCATGACTTTGTTTTAGGGACGAGAATGAAAATATAACTCAATTTCTGAAATTAGAAGCCAAGGTTTCTAACAAGGAAGAGAGAAAATGGAGGAACCTAAAGCAAAGAGAAAGTGTGTAGAGATCAACTGTAGAGATCAACAATGGAGTGATGCTGAAAAGGATTGAAACGGATCATTTCAACAAAGTTTCACTTGAACTGTTTCATCATATATCCTTAAGTTTCTGTCCTCCTAGAACCGTATTTCTTGTTCCTTAGTCTTTATGTTTTATATTATGCTGCATCTTGTGAAGTATTGTGGCGTTGCTTGTGCTGTATGTGATGGAGCCTTCTTTCCCCTACAAGGAAGATAAGGGAATGTCCATAATGGAAAAAAAATTATACATTCAGCATGATGGAGAGGACATGATTGAACTTGTTAGAAGTTGCCAAAATGAGTTTAAGGAGTGTTACATTCAAGCAATTAAAACATAATTAGGATAATCTTAAAAACTTGCTACAGCAGGTCTTTTGCAGGGTCATGAATGAGTCACATGATATACTAACTCACATTGACTATCACCCATAGTTACATATATAAAATAGAATTAAAAAAGGAAGAGAGGTACTCTTGTCAAGTCTCAAGTTACTTTTTCACCCTTTATTCTCTGTTTTTTTTTTTTTTTTTTTTTTTTTTTTTTTTTTCCATTTTCGCATCATTTTCTTACGCTCGTTGACAACCAAGTTAAAGGTAAGTTTTCTATTCTCTTATCTTGCTTCTTTTGCATCTAATCTGAAAAT